TATCAACACCTTACCTTTTCCATTACCGGGAGGTTTTAACTCCAGACTAGATGCCATGGGGCAACCAGAAGCCATGGGTTTAGTGCAGAAGTAAATGGACAAGATCTCCAGCCTGTGTTAAGCAGGATATCTGATCAGAAAAGACCCTTCTTTCATTACAATTCATTGATCTAAGAATTGACTGAAGCTGAGGATCCAGCTCATAAATCTTAGCCTACAGACTCTATTCTAGCCTTGAACACTTGAACTTTTTAGTCCTGATGACAGTTACATATTTCTTCACTCAAAATCACACACACACACAATCGACATTCAGTGGTTTCCGATCCAAAAGCAGGGGAACGATTTTGCCACTTCTCTCTGCCCTCAATTTTCAAATACCGTAACTTCAGTGAAAGATTCGATTAATTTTATTGCCAGAGTAGTGAAAAAGTTAAGAACTTTGTTACGATCAGTACATTATGAAAACAAAGTACACTTTTTTAATCATTAAAAAATCAAGCAATATGTTAAATACTCTCTTCTAGTTAGCAATTAGCATACTACCATACAGAGCGTTTAACATGAAAAGAGATAAGGCTCAGATAAGAAACAAACAAGACTGCCCCTTTGATGGGGATGATCCTGCTACATAATATCCTAAACTCCTACATGTATCACTTATGGATATAAACGTCATTGGACTAGAGGAAAAAAAATAGGTGTCTTGCAGGGGATGTTCAGGCACCTTGTGCATAGTTTTAGCTGAGATTATGAAAGGGACCTATATGGAGCAAGTGGTATTTTGAAGGTAACCCAAGAGTTTGTCCCCTTTCGTTTCATTGTGCCTCCAGGCCACTGCTGATATGTTTCAAAAACAGATTAGTGTGGTCTTATAAAGAAAATGGCTCATCGAACACTAGATCAAGAAGAACGGTGAGGAGTGGGTGACCCTGCACAAACCAGAGACAATTTGCCAAGGTTAGGGGCTGGGGGGATATGAGATTAGAGTTTAAAACCTTCTTGCTAAAAATCTGTAGAGATATGGACTCTCCTCCTGTTCAGATCACTTTATAATCTGTTATTTGCAATGAGACCCATGCGAGGTAAGTATTTAGGTTTCATGAGGTAGCAGCTGGCATCGTCTCTGACAAAGTGTTCTGGCTCTTCATCCCACATTTAAGTTATGCCTCTGTAACACTGAACACTACCAAAAGCAGTCAAGAGCTTTAAAATCACAAGGCCAAACTCACAGTTGGTGCAACAGATAGATCCCTGTTTAGCCATGTAATGAGTTTGGCCCGTTGTGATGTTCTCTTTAATTCTGACGAGCTAACTGGGCAGAAGACCGAGCGCACTGTGGTACGAGTAACGCATCCCTAATAAGACAGCAGGCTTCTTTCATTTACTCTTTTTTGGTCCACTTCTCTTCTCAAGCCCTTTTGCCCTCTTCTTTCTCCAGTCGCAGATCTCCGAGTAGCTGCATGACTGGCACTTCCAGGCTTCCTCAATATCTACCCCCCGCGCTTCCCTTTGCCCTTTCCAGTAAGCAAGGTAGTACTGTGCTTTCTCCTTCACCGTTGCTTCCTCATACGGCACCACCTCTGTCCCTAGTGGGACGCTGCTTTCCTGGTGGCTGTACTCAATTTTCAAGCAGTCGATGCCGGGGATGTCAGAGAACATCAGGTTCAGGTGCATCAGCTCCAGGAGGTCCCCAAAGGACGTGATCATAAATCCTATCTTCTGAGCGTGCTTCCTAAGTTGGCACCCAAGCGGCTGCTCTGGCCTCAGATGAATATAATTCGTGAAAACGTCTGGTTTCAGCTGTCCTTGAACCATGGTATCGAAAATGTATTTATACAAGCTGACCTGGAAGAGGAAAAGAGCAGCCCGCATACTCAACAGGTGACCAAACATCTCACTACGGCAGAGCATACATTAGGGAGTGCAGCCATCACAAAGGTATATAGGTTGAGAGCAAATCTGCCTTGCAAATCTCAGCCTTAATTCAGAATAGGAGTGCAATACTCCCTTGACGACTGATTGTTTTATACGTGAGAATGCCCATGTCCACAGGGTTTTCATTTCTAAAAGAAATTAAATAACCTGAGAAATATACGGAGAACTTGCTGATCCATACAGAATCCAATCACAGATATCGGCCAGGTACAGACATTATACTTGTACTGGTATAAGTGACTGGAAACCCATCTATACCCAAAACAGAAGTTTGGCATACAAAATGGTCTATACATAGATTGATTTAAAAAAATAGTGGACCCAGTCTAAGATTTGCTCCAGACCAAAGGGTGAATGTGTGTTCTGTTCACTACTGATCTAAACTACTCCACTTACAGAAAACCACCTAACTTAGTTCACTTCCACCTCGGGCTTTTTGAATGTCTGTACCTAGCTGCCACTTGCATATACACTGTTAGGTATGAATAGTTTGTTCAAGACAGCAGAGAAGTTGGCAGAATGAGACTTCATTGACTGAAATTTAAAGATGGGATTTTTCAAGCCACTCAGGGGCATCTCGATTCCCATTTCCTATTAATTCTTTGGGGAACTGTGCAACAACTTTGTAAAGATGCACCAAAAAGCAGATCTGAACTCTATGAATGGCTGGCTCTTGCAGTTCAAATAAGCTTCAAATTGTGTGCAAACCATGCAAGTTCCAGAGGATTTAGTGGTGACAATTCATTTGTTGATATTCACCTCCACAGGTCACTATTGAAAGAATATCTTAGGATGCTGCACCTTGGGACATTTTGTATCTCACCACTTTTGGGAAAAGGCAAACTCAACCTTCTAACAATTTACTAGACAAACCTATGGAAATTCTCCCAAGAGAAGGATTGTTACCTCTGATGCCCTGGCTGACTTCCAGTGTGGGTCATTATATTCCAGCTACAAAAAGTTCATCTTCTAGCTTCATCTGCAATCTACTCTCTTCACTTGCTGTTTTAAACAGCCGTGTAATGTGGCTGCAGGGTGCCATGCTTTAGTCCAGGCTGTGGCTATCGTTTGTAGAATTGTTTGTAAAATATTTTTGGCACGGCAGGAACAACACAAAGACAAAGTAATTACATTGCACTTCCCCGTTTGCAATGTGTTAACTTAGTATTAAGAAATAAGCAAGTGGGCTAAAAACTCCCTCAGCTGCTTGTGTCTGGGTAAGTATGGATCTTTGGATCCTCCTATGTAGCGATACGTGAACATATTTTGCTCACCTGGAAATGATCTTTCTTTCTCTGTGCTTCACCAGGCATAAATGGTCGGCTTCGTGTTTTTAACTCATTCAGCTCCAGCTCTCCCTTGGTATTGTAGCGGAGTTCATCTATAATCCCACTCACAAAGACACCTTCTATCACTCCAAACACTGGCAGCTCCCGTACATGGCCACCTAGTATAGAAGAGGAGATAACCCTTATGTTTTCTGAGGCTAGCATGGTTTCAAGATAAAGACATTTCTCTCTTAAAGTAACATTAAAAACTTCTTTGGACTCTTATTACTGATGCAGCGACCTTTAGATTCCTAATTAAGAGAATTCCCTGTTTCCATGCCTATTTTGAGGTAGAAGCAAGACTTTTAAGGTCAAAAAACGTTTTTCACTGGACCAAGCTGTACAGCTGGGAGAAAGAGGAGACAAGCTTTTGGGCTTCAAGCCCCCTTCATCAATTCTGGAATGAAACAGTCAACGGGCCAAGCTAGGTACAAACTGTAACAATTACCTGTGTTAATGAATTTGATCACCTACCAGGGAAGTAGGCAACCATCACCTATTCAGCAAAGGAAGGCTTGCAGAGGGAGAAGTAAATTATAATGAGCCATAAGACCAATGTCTCTGTTAAATCCATAGTTTTTTAGCAAGAAATGCAAAACAATCCTATGGATAATGCAAATTTAGAGATGTCTACCCAAAAGAGATTGTAACGGAATGAACTCAGGTGTCTGAGGGTGCATACACCTTCATTAATGCCCCTTAGATACTGCACAGTAAAGCCGGTGCACAGTATTTTTGTGACGCTTACTTCACATTAGCCTAATAACACTGCGCAGTAGGCTATTTGCATGTTTTTTAACCGCCACGCTACAGCACAGCCTTACTAAGTTAATGCGTAATAAGCTTCTCGTGTAGACGCACCCCGTGTGTCATACTGCTCTAGCAAAAGTAGGCAGAATTTTGTGCAATCATATTAACTAGTGATTCCCAACTAGAGTGCCTCAAGGTGTGGGGGGATAAGTGAGGTATAAGGATATCATCTAAATTATATCTAGGTGAGGTATAAGGATATAATATACCTCATCCCTGTCCCTGCCCAAACAAACCCTGACTGTTCTGCCCCTCTGCAAGGGGATAAGCACTGTAATATATAAAGCAGGATTTGAATTTGGGTGCCACTCAATCCACAAAAGTTATCGAGGGTGTCACAAATCCACAAAGGGTGAGAACCATTGACATAAACAGTCATAACCACTATGACCATCTAGCCTACCTCCTCTATGATGTGAAGCAAAGAGTGATTCGTGCATCCTGCTCAGCAGCTTGTGGCTGATCTAGAGCAGGGCCAGGCAGCCTGAGGCATGCATGCTGCAAGTGGCACAGGCAGCCTCTGTTGAGAGACATGTGCCAGATCACGGAGGGAGCAGGGAACATAGAGAAGATCAGGAAGGGAGCAGAAAGCAGAGCCACAGATCCAGCGCGGGGACCTGATCAATGGCGCACAGGGAAGAGGCAGGGTTTACCTTGTGGCACACCTGCCAAAAAGGTTGCCTCCCACTGATCCAGAGCACGTCTGTTAGGAAGCTAGATTTAAAGGCTGCAATTGCATCATTGACCCCATCCCTTGATAATCTTCAACAGCTAATTACGTTACTATGACAAACTTGATGGTTTTCCCCATCTAAACGTCTTGGATGCAAAGTATGAAGTCAAGCCAGCCAGCTTTGTTTTCCAAATGGAACGAAAGTCAAAACCGAGAAACAGCTAAGCACCCACCGAGCAGCTCCTCCAACGGAAACAGCGAAAGACTTCATTTGAAAACTTCATTTTGAATTAAGCTAAAGCCCCAGCTGACATACTTCTTGCTTGGCAACTGCTTTCCCTGTTGTCATTGCTTTCAGGAGTACAATAAACTGGTTTATATACGCACTGAGTGCAAAGATAAAAAAACTGCCAGTGTCTTTTGCTGGCTTACCTACCTGCTTGAAGGACTGGAATCACTGAAAGAAGATTCAGTATTTTTATTGCCCAAGAATCTTCCCTGCTCGTAGTAGGTATTTTTACCAGGTCATGGACTTCTAGCTCTGATTTCAAGAGAAAAAAAACCCACAATAATTAATATTTTAAATATGATACCATTGTGAGGCTCTTGGCTGAGATCAGGTCCTGTTGCGAATGGTATTGGCATGATAAAAGGCAACACCTAAAAGGTATTAGTTTAAATAATCCAGATGAGATTAAAATCGCTTTTGCATATGCTCTGGGGATGGGAGGGATGGTGCTTTAATAAGAGCGGCTCCAAGAGCTGCTCTAATTAAAGTGCCGCCACGTCTCCTGTATCAGCATCCCTGTGCTTACAAACGATGGCAGGGGCGCTTGAACTAAAGCTCGTCAAATGACCTTCAGTTCAAGCGTCCCCGCTGCCATTTTTAAGTGCGGGGACGCTGACGCACAGGACACCGGAAACTGCTGGCATGTGGCAATTGCCACGGTCCAGCAAACTCGATTAATCAAGTCTGCTTCAAGGCGCTGGAGCAGCAGCCTCCATGCTCGCAAACAGGTACTCTAGGAGAGAAACAGGCATGAGCGTGCCAAACCATTTGCCTTGCGTCAGGAGCAAGACTCGGCTCTCCTGACTTCTTGTGAAAATGAAAGCATACCATGAATTTTGGGAAAATGCGATCAAATGAAGCTGTTTTCTCTCTCTCCCCCTGCCAAAACATATCCACTGACTGTGGAAAATTATCCTTTCCCCCCACACACGGGTTATCTACAGACTAGAAGGAAGCATATAAAGATAGTTATTGTAGGGCCTGCTAAACAGCTCTTTAGAGCAGCTTGCTTGGCTTGAGCATCCCTATGCCAGTCTGGGGCAGCCTCCCTATGGAGCGGCCATGGCACCGGGTCCTGCCCGCCTGTTGCGCAGGGTGCACGCTGGCACAGGCTGGACCTGGCACTGCAAGCAGCACTGGGGTTGGTCCAGGGCTGCAGGGAACACGTGCTTCGTGGGCCACGTGCACGGCCAACACGTGCTGCATGCAACGGGCAGAGCCGACATGGTTGCGCACGTGCTGCACTTGGCTCCATGCAATGCCCTGCACGCCGATTCGGGGTTCGGCGGGGCGCCGCACAGACGGCGTGCCCCGTGTCCGCCCCGTGCAAGGCCGCTCCAGCCTCTGGTACGGCGGGCCCTCACCTCTGGCGAGATGGATGCTCTTGCCCGTGTCCAGCAGCGCAGCCGTCTCCGGGGCCGGCGGCCGCGGCTCCTCCATCCCGAACACCGCCTGCTGCTCGCACCAGCTCTGCCCGGCCAGGTCGGTCACGCACAGGTAGTGCAGGGCGTACCTGTCCAGCGGGCGCGGCGCCCGCTTGCGTTTGCCCGCGCCGTCGGGGTCCCTGGCGGAGCGCGGCTCCTCGGCTTCCCTGCAACGGGAGCGGTTAGCAGAACCCCTCTCCCCCCAAAAAGCAAGGCCCCCCTCCTCCCTCATCCCCGCCCCACCTCACAGGGAGGGCTGCTCCTACCGCGGCTCCTCCGGGGCCCGGCTCCGCGCGCGGGTGCCCGGAGCGTGCGTGGGGCCGGGTCGCGGCGCGCGGGGCCGGGCTGAGCATGCGCAGAGCGCACCCCTGAGCCCGGCCCCAGGGTCCCAGCCCGGGGTCGAGCGCGTGGCGCCAGCAGCGAGTCGTGCTGAGTCACGTTACAGGCCGACCCGCCGCATGGTCGTGACGCAGCAAAATCAAATGCCCTGCTCTTCTCGGCTGCCCGGCTTGTGCAGGGGGAGGCTGTGTCCGGGTGGGACTGGGGGAATCATCGCACTCAGGTGGGAGCTGCTCGGCGCTGGAGGCTCAGCAAACCTAACGCACTTTCCCTTGAGTGCTGTTTCTGCATCCCTGCGGCCTTCTTGCTGACCCCTTCCGAATTCACTCCTGTTTCTTAAGGGATGCTATAACCTATGCATGTGTGCGCTGGCGGGGAGCAAAGTGCTGGGTGATTAAAAATGGATTTAAACCTCTTTTTCCCCTGATCATTTTGCACGTCTGCTGCAGCAATAGGAGAGTATCATCAAAGCATGGTAGCTGGGTAGGAAAGGCAGTTCCCTTCACCCTCGTGTGACAAGGCTGCTTTAATCTTGACTGAGAGCTGCGCTCTTCTGCCCGCTCAGATCCGTCGGTTGTCAACATTCATTTGAAACATTTACGTCTCCCTAAATGAAGTCCGATTGAGTTGGCCGTGCTGGAGGAGAAAGAATTAGCAGAGAGAAGATAATGCTCACGATGTAAAGCACTTCCTGGTGAGAGAGTAATGAGATGCAATGGGGACCTGGCACAATTTGCTGGCTACGTTGCAGTAAACCTCGTGCTTTGGAATGAGCTGTTCAGTGACAATCTGTCCGAGCGAGAGAGGCTGGCATTACTGTTTGCTTAAAAAGAGGACAGGTGAGGAGCTAGGCGATCTTCTAAATACATTGCCAAATAGTCTTCATGTCGAACACCTGTGCCACATGCGCTCTGGCACGTGGCAGGTTACCCTGGGAGGGGTAGAGGGCCCATCAGCCTTATCTGGGGTCCCGAGGGCTGGGGAAGCTGTAGCCGCGGTGCTCCTGCAGCTGGGAGCATGGCTCCGGCCTGCCAGGCCCTAGTTCTGGGTGCTGTACCAACACATGCGCCGCCCTTTTTCTCTGTGCAGGTTTTTTTGACCCGAGGATCTCCCGGGGTCGAAAGCCTCACTTCCACACTGCAAGGTTCGGCGTGCAGCGTTGCAAATGGGTTTGCTGTGCCCCGTGCCGCACAGCCGCGCTCGCCTGGAGGCGGCCTCAGACCAGTTAGCTCAACATGCCGAGAAATCAAGTCACCAAATCATACCTGTGAACCTGGTGGAGGTCCCTCACAGAAAGACGGTTACTCACTTCTACTCTCTTCCCCACAGACTGCAACACTTAAACACCTAAGTGATTTAAGAGCCTGAAATTCATTTTCCAAAAGGAACCTATGCACTTAGGAGTCTCATTGAAAGGCAATGGGATTTGGGCTCCTAAGCGCATTGAAAAGGGGACGTGGGTTGCCAGTATACTTAGAGAAGATTTTGGAAGGTATCTGGATACCCATGCTAGCTCTGCAAAGTGGGCCAGAAAGAAAAGGTGATATTATCAGATTGGACTATAGCTTCTGCTTCAGAATATGTAACTTTGCCTGTTAGGACTTTCCCATGGATTTGGGGGCCACCCTTTTGTTTCAAGATACCCACACTTACTATACCAATAAAGCAGGGGTGTCTTACCTTTGCTCAGCCAAGGCAGTTATGTCCGCTGCAGTAGTAAGAGGTGGTAGAAAGTTTTGAAGAGGCAGGACATGGCAAAGGATGAAAGCTGCCTGTCACTTCCCTACTCGCACTAGGGAAGCATGGCTGCAAAGGTGTGAAATCACAGTGCGCAATGTTTGCCTTGCTCAGAGCTGGAAGGATTGAGATGGGCTAATGGTGGCTTTGATAACCCGGTTCTGTAACCCTCTTGAAGGTTAAAGAAAATAGCAAGCTTACTGGGGGAATATAACATTTCATACCAACAGGTCTCCAAGGAAAAACCAATCTCTTCGACGACACAATTTCCCAAGGTATTCATCTTCAGAGAAAGCAACAAAGATGTGAAGTGCGAAACACCCCCATAATAGAAACTGCTGGGCCATTTACCTCTGTAAAGCTGCAGAAAAGTAAAAATGGGCCAAGTCTGCACCATTATTTATGAAACCCAGAGGAAACACACAGCCAAAGCAGAGCAAGTGAGCTCACACACACACACACACACACACACACACACACACACTGGTAATGCTCAATAAATATTGGAAAGTCAGGCTTGCTGGGTGGAAAGCTTCTGCTACCTATATAAGCAGTCAGTTCAGATAACCAGGACCTTGGTCTTTCAGTGCCATCTATTTTATGCATAAGCTGAACATGCCACCAGCGCAATCACTTGTTAACCATCCTTCACACATGCACACACCCAGGTTTGTTTGCAGGAGCAAAAGACTGAGAGCCAGCACAAGGCCTACGCATGCTCTTTTACCTTTTTGGAGGGTTTTCCAGAATGATGCAGGCCCCTGCACAGAGAGAAAAGTCTCATTTAGATGTGACGTTCCACAGTTGGAAAGGAGGTTGTTGTGCATGGTCCGTGATGTTGAGGCCTGCAGGTGACGACATGGGAATCCATTAGTGTCTGTGACTGCATAAGTGGAAGGGCTTCTAGCACAGTGAAGTCCTGATATGTGACTGAGCTTCCTACAGACTATAATGAATAATAGCATCTTCCATTCTTTTACCCGAAACGCAAATAATTAAGTTCATAGAGTCACAGAAAATGAGGGTTGGAAGGGATCACAGGAGAGCATCTGGTCCAACCCCAACTACTTCATCCCAGCCAAGGCTTTGCCTACCTGGGTCAGTTCTACCGAGTCCAAAGGAGAAATCTTTTATCCCAGAACCTTCAAAGGAGCTGGAAGCACCGGGGAACCCACAGCTCTCAGGACTCTCCCAAGACTCACAGCTCTTGAGTCTTTCTTTGAAGGGCTCAGTTCCCTTGGCTCAAACTTATTCCTGATTCAGAATGTAAGTAACTTTGGTACCAACTTTAACTTATGCCATAATCATTCCCGTAAATGAATACCGACATCTCTGCTATTCTGATCTGCGTGCTCAACTTTTCCGCTGGACGTGAGTTGTTATCCAACTCGCATTGCTTATGGATGCCCTCCTTTTTTTGCCTGCAAGTCATTTTCATTCCAATGACAATTAAGTATGAAAATGGGTAGTTTAAAACTGTTTAATGCTATCTTCAGACTGTATCAAACTCATCAGAACAGCACAGAACATCTATTAGGGGAGCTGATAAGACTGCGCCTTTCCTTTATGACAATCAGTATAGGAAAATCTAATCGTGTTGGGTTTTTAGCATTACATTTTTTTTCTAAACCTAATTTATCCAGTCATTTGCTAGCTACCATTGAAAAATATAATGAAGAATAAAGCCCAGGCAACTCTTCTAGGTCACTGGTTCAAATCCAGATGTGTAATGATGACTGTGTGTGTGTAGCATGGCCAGCACTGGGGCGGCAAAGTCACCCCCCTGGGGTCTGCCTGGATCCCGCTTTCCTTGCCCCCTCTGGCTTCTCAAAGTCCCACTCTGTTGTCTGGCCTGCTGTGCCCTGATGTTATGATTGGACAGGGAGGCTGCCCCTAGGGGGAAAGGGGGCTTTGGGTATTAGACCCTTGTCTGGGCTGAGGCCCCTTGGCCCTGGCCAACTCTGCTCTGGCTGGGCACCTCTGCTTGAGGTCCCCTGTCTCAGGACCATAGGCTCCCAGGCCCCAGCTTTGGCCTCACCTTTGCAAGCTCTGGCCCTGCCCTTGTGGGCTCTGGGCCCCTCGGCCCCTGGACTTGTGTCCCCAATCTTTGCTTTCCGATGCCACAGTCCTTCCAGTAACAGCAGCACTAGACCCTTCAAAGGGTCAGGTCCAGGACCTGGGGTGCCCTTGGCACCCTTTTCCATGGTGTCCTCCGCCCCTACAACCACAATCCGGTCCTCCGGTATTTAAATACAAATTAAAAGACAGGAGCATCTCCTTTCAAACAAAAAGTTCCCCATCCTGGGTTAACACCACACCATGGCAAAACTACCATGCAAGGCCCCAAAATACTAATCTTTGGGTACCTGGTGGTCCAGAAGATCCCTGCATCTTGGAGTCCTTCCTCCTCGTCTGCTCAGGCCCCACTCCTCCCTGGAGCTTTGCTTCCTGCAGTCTGCAGGGCCAGACTGCCCCCCTTGCTTCAGGCTGTGGGCTTATGTAGCTCTCTCTGGCTTACCTGACCCGCTACTTCTGCCCTAGGCCTGTCAACCCCTGGGGCAGATGGCCCTTTCTCACTATCAGTTTGTCCAGCAGGCTGGAGCCAGCCAGCAGATCCTTGGCTCCCTCCCTCCTTCAGTATGTATTAAGAAACAGTGTGTATTAAGAAACAATCAAGGCAGCTGCTAAAAAAAAGCCCATTTGCTTTTAACATTAAAATTTGGAGGAAGGGGCAAGAAAATCCAATTTACAACAACTTTGATTTCGGTTCACTAACTTTTGATGCAATGCAACAAAACAACTTAGGACAGATCTTTATTGCAGTGGCACGCATGTGTTATTGGGTGAAGTGGCCTGCTTTGAGACTTTGGAGTTGTGCGTTTCAAAATGATGGGAAATGCAGTGCTGACACTAATGATTATAACACACTGCTGTGCCGCCAGCTGCAGAGAGCTCAGCGATGCTCAGGACCTTTCTCTGGAAGAATACTTGGGACAGCACAGATAAGAATAATATGCTTCCATATTCAATTACTGTAATTACACTCCCGCAAATTCATTTAGCAGGAGGTTTAGATGTTTATGGCTAGATTTATACGTCCATTAGCTTTTTGGTAGTAATGGATGTTTACACCTCTCACCCATTAAACGTCAGCCTAGGATCTGTATGAATTTATGGAAAACATTATGTGCACGTGATTGGCTT